CTGGGAGGATCCCACGTGCCGCGGAGCGGCTGGGCCCGCGAGCCATGGCCGCTGAGCCTGCGCGTCCGGAGCCTGTGCTCTGCAACGGGAGAGGCCACAACAGTGAGAGGCCCACATACCGAAAAAAAAAAAAAAAAAAAAAATGCACAGCCTAGAAGTTGAGAATTATGTCTTATTCAGTGGACAAAACTGAGGACTTAAGCTCAGGACACAGCATCTCAGATAACTCTGAGGAGCTGCTTCAAAGAGACAGCGGGGAGCCAGGATACAGAGGAGTTTTTGCAACAAAGACCAGGTAGTCGGAACATCAAAAGATTACTATTCATTAAAGAAAACCAGACATCTCAAGTTAAGGAATTTAGCGCTTTTCTATATATGGGAAGATGCAAGAGTCTGGGCTCACTGAAATCATTCCTTCGACAGGCACCTCAGCTCTCTGGGGCCAGTATCCTGCACTTTCTCATCCTGAGTTCCCTCAGGGCTCCCCATCTGGGGCAGCTGTAGTGGCTGACTGCTGCAACATCCTTTGTTTACTGATATGGCAGGCAGCGTTGTTAGCCCACATTGTTGTTGTCGTTTTGGGGTTCTGTGTTTCGTATGGGAGAGGGCAGCACTTGAGGGAACGATGGTGAAGCAGGGGAAAAGTGTTGGCGTGATATACAGGATTTGGTTAACCTCTAGTCCCTCTGCTGTCTCCACCAGGGGTCATTGCCGTGGTAATCTTCACCATCCTCTGCACCTTGGTCTTCCTTATCCGGTACATGTTCCGTCACAAGGGCACCTACCACACCAACGAGGCCAAGGGAGCAGAGTCAGCAGAGAGCGCGGATGCCGCCATCATGAGCAACGACCCCAACTTCACAGAGACCATTGACGAAAGCAAAAAGGAATGGCTCATCTGAGGGGCGGCTCTTTGGTGATGGGATGAGGGCGTGGGGAGTGACGGGGAGGAGGGCGAGGGACAGAAGCTCCCTACTTCGTACTCCTGAGCACATCCTAAAAATATTAGCACAAGTTGGGGGAGGCAAGCGACAGAAAACTCCTGAGACTGACGGCCACAAGAAATACTTTCTGATATGTCTTTATAGATGAGTTTCCCCTTCTGTATCAAAACAAAATAATACAAAAAACGCTTTTAGAGTTTAAGCAGTGGTTGAAACTTGTAGGTACTATCTGTCTTATTTTGTGTGTGTTTAGAGGTGTTCTAAAAACCCATGGTAACAGGGCAAGCTTCCTACATTTTTCAGAGCCCTGAGAATGTGGATATTTTTTCTTGAGAAAAGCTGATGCACAGTATACATGACTTCCAGCATTTTCTTCCTTTTACATAGAGTCAGCCTCTAACAGGCTATTGTAGTAACTAGTTCGTGTTCACGTAATATTTCTTTTGGTGTCCTGTGAATTGGAAAAGGAGAGATGGGGCAGAGAGAACCTATGATTTGACAGTTCTCAAAGAGACCTTAGTGTGTGCAGCTCTCTGAGAGTTCCCACCAGAAACAGCTGGAGGAAGAGGGGGTGTGGCCCCTCTTGTGTGACAACGTGATCAGTACAACCTAGAGCAGCTTTCAGAACCAAGGAAGCAATTTCCTGTTGGGATCGTTGGTTTTACATTTCGTCAGATTCTGCAAGATAATACTGTTCCACGTCTGCAGTCTCAGCCCTATCCAGTGTCTGTAACTATCAGCTACGATACCTGGTGACCAGCTGTTACAAAAAAATTTTCCCCCTGCTTTACCTACAACATATTGGGTTAGATTGTATGTGTGTGTAAGCACCTCAGTGGGGAATTAGAGCCAGATGTTAAGATTTGTCTGCTCTGTTTCTTTTGTAGTTGGTAGCAAGAGTATGGATACTTCCTAGTAAATGCATAAATTATGTTGGTCTTCTTATTTTGCTTTAAATCTCTAGTCTTTAAGCCCCGGGACAAGATCCTAGCAGACAGTGTCCTCTGAATGGATGAACCAAAATAAAGCCAAGTTGTGACTGCTAGTATTGTTATTGCTGTTACTCTGGAATCATGTGGAAAACCTGCCGTATTTTAACTCATCTACTTCCACGTATTGTTCCATCCTAAACAGACACACTGCCATGATTCAGGGACCTTCTTTGGCAGACACATTTGAATCTCAGGTTCATCACAACCTGGTAACTGATTATTGCCTCTCAGAGAGTGGACATGTCTGGTCAAGCAGACCTCAGTTTAATCAGGAACCTTCATCAACTAATTCCAGCAAGTAACTATTTATTTAAAAATAATCGACTGTGTGTGTAGGCAAGTGGGACAGTGCTCCTACCGGAGGATCCAAAAAACAATTTCATTTATTTATTTTAAAAGAAGGTAACACAAAAGTTATTTCTAGAATGACTACCATTTATGAACCTTATAGTTCAGGCTGTTATACTTAATAAGTACCTCAAAAAATTTTTTTAGACTCCAACATTTTGAGGAATTAAATATCCCTTTTTTCTTTCTCCCCCTGGAAGGAGGTAAGATGAGGGTAAAAACGTACTGATGCTATTGTTCTGTTGGCCTCTGCCTGGAGAAAATGGAAATTCTAGTTCCTTTGGGTTATATATTCAGGATACTCGGGATGCCTGACTTATTGGAGGACCTCAGTTTCTTGAGCAATGGAAAATGTTATCCAGAGCTGCACATGGCACCAGTGCCTGACAAATTCCAAAGGAGACAGTGGACCAGTTAATTCACATTCAAGTGAAGGTCATAAAACAAAAGAGAATCCTAGCGCCCTTTTACAGTTGCTGACCTCGGGCACTGTCATAACCACCTTTTACTTAAAAAGGTCTTGATCATTCTTAAATAAAATGCATTTACCATGAAAAGCATTTATTAATGACCAAATATTAGAACAACATAACATTTACAAATGACATACTGAAAATAAAGGTTATTTATTTGACCAAGATGACTACCATTAAGGATTCTTTTATATATTTTCAAAATGAAAGAGCAAATTTTAAGCATTATGTTTAAAAATGTTTCTGATTTCTTAATACCTGTTTGATAGGTATTACTTTTGCACTTAACAAATAGCACCAGGTGGAAATTTATTATTTATTGCATTTGCCATGAGAGCTTTATTCTTTATACATTGTCTGAGCACTTTCCCTTTCTTTCCAAAATGATTAAGAAATTAAAACAGTCAGACATAGCCCCTTATACTAAAATGTGCTCACCCTTTCTCTTCTCTGTCTTCTTTTCTTTTTCCTGCCACAAAAAGTGAAAAATAAAACCTAACACTTCTCCCCAGATTTTCAAACGTAGGGCACCGGGGTGACCGCGGGGACCCGTGTTTCTCCCACCTCAGCATCGTTTGAGATTTACAGACGCATGACACGGCCTCTGCCCTGAAGGCGGTTACAGCCCAGCCAACGGACAGGACACAGAAAAAGTGGATGAGGTATTAGTAATGAAGTAAAGGGCTAAATACGTGCTGGACATCTTCTCTTTGGGACTGCAGTCTTCACCCAAGTTCCTAAATTTATTTGTGAAGGCCACATACAGTACCTTCTTAAATGCTAAATAATTTTGTTTTCTGTGCAGAAAAGAAGACAGCTCTTCTTTTCCAGCTCCCCAGGCAGCCATGACATTATGACCCAAGCTCAGGGCCCAGTCCTGCTTTGTCAATCATATCCTGCAAAAGCCTGGTGTCTTAGAATCCGATACCTTACCAATCAAGCACAAAGAGGCTAGTGGTAGTCTCTTTATATAATAAAAGAATCAGAACAAAAACAAAGTTTTCTTTAAATAAGAGGTGGTTTTCAAGTTGTAGGAGAAGCTGACAGTTGATTTCGGGTTGTTTGTGCAGGAAACGTCCTCCGTGTATAAAGCAAGCATCTCTATTTTGAGTTGATAGGATTGGGGTCTTCAAATGAATGCAAAATCAGTCCCCATCTGCGCTCTCAATGTACTCCCTTGAGCTCAAGGATGCTAGTTCAGGAGGTAAGAGGTTATATTCTTAAGTTCTTCTCTGGCCCTTCACAGTATATAAGACAGCATTTCCCTTGTGGCTTTCAAACAACTGCTCAAAAAAGAAAAGAAAAAAAAAAGGTGTGCGAGAGAGACCTGTTGTGTGGGAGTTTTTATTGACCATCTGGGGATAAGAGTTTGAGAGCCTTTATTGGAAAATTTCCTGTTGCCCCGTGTTTGACAAATCAGCATCCTTTGCTAAGAGGAGCAGGATTTCAGGGGCACAGGAAAGAGAGTTGGTGTGAGCCCAAGAGTGGATCTTAACGTTGTCGTTGAACATCTGTGGGGCAGCCAGCAGATGGCACTGAGAGCTGGGCACAAAGACACAGACCATAGAAAGCTCCAAAGGAAGAGCTAACAGCTACCGGTAGGAAAATGTAGTGTCAGTGTAGCTCAGGATGAAACTGTCAGTTCCTTCGATAACAGGATCTGTACTTTTCTGTTTTTCCACAGGTTCTTTTTCGCCCTGTCCTTTTGTGTAAACGTTTTCATGGTCCCTTGATGTCTCACACCTCCAAACGATTAGCACCTGTTTGGAACCTCTTAATATATTTTTTTTCCTTTTCACCATCCTGTCAAGCAGTTTTCAAAAAGAAAGGCAACAATTAGTAAATTGAATTCCGATGAGCCAGCCAAAAATAGGTCTAAATTGCTAGTCCCAATAGTATCACCTCATCCTGAAATAGATGAGGAACAAATAGTGTTTCTAACTGATCTGGGCTAAAACCCAATAGGTGCCGTTTTTAAAATGATGTTTTGGTGAGAGGTGATCCCTAGAGCTGACCCTTTCTCTCTCCCTGATGTGCTCTGTAACCTTGGCCAGCTCGCTGAACGTCTGTTCCTTTTTGCCTCATGTGTAAGATAGAGCTGTTTTATCCACTTCATGAGACAATGGTGAGGTGCCGTGGATTCTTGGCTGTGGATACTTTGAAACCCAAATATAAAGGCCAAAGTCAATGGACCTATGGGAAGACTTACTTTCCAGCTCGTGGTTGTAAGTCACATCAAAAGAAACCATGCATCCATGTCCAGGAGTGTAGAGACGTGAAGCATTGCTGTACAATTACTAGATTATAAGTCAGGTAGACTGCCAGGGAACTAATCCGTCAACACTGGGAGATGCAACACAGCCAAAGGCCAGAGAAATCAAAACACCACATGTATAAAACCCTAAGTTCCCACCTGGGTGTGACTTGTTGCTTACACATGCCCCAGTATGATTATAAATAAGACAACATTGAAAAGCAAATGTGACTGTTTCACGTAGCCCGATGGCCCTGTGCCTACACTACACACACCCTGCATGATGATGTTGGAAACTTTAAATTTATTTCACAGCAGTATTTTTTGGATACAGGTGGTTCGTGAAACTCATTATCCATAAAACAGGGAAACCGTGTTGAAAAGTTGGTCATCTCCCATGGAGCAAAGACTAGCAAAAGGTAATAAAGATACCTGGGCACACGGGTATTAATACCCAGCAGGCACTTACGAGTTTATTTTCCAGATGAAAATGTGCTTTAAGAGCAGGTCTACTTACAGGGGCTGCAACCACTTTCCGAGTCTCAATTTTTTTTCAGCAACTGCTGGACCCTGAGATGGTCATGGAAACATGGAGACTCCTGCCATCTGGTAGGCCAAAAAACAGTTCTCAGTGTCACTGATTCTTTTTGTTTTGTCAGGTTTCTTTTCGTTTGTTTGTTTTTTCAGTGAGCATGTTGAACTGCAGAGGTTAGGGTTGTGAAAAGCTGGGCTAATATTCTTTCTGTAAAGTCAGTTAGGCTTCCATCCCTGTGAAATAACACGAAATTTTGCTCTCTAAAAGCAACAGCATGTAAACTAGAATGAAAGAAGGAAATCATGTATGTATGCCTACTATTCTTTGTGAATGTCTTTCATTTAACTAAAATTATA